CTGCAGGTCTACTCTAGAGGATCCCCGATTGACACCGTCCGAGGATCTTCCTAAATTCTGAGCAATCTGACAGTCTGAAAAATTTTGGGCATTTTTGGCTGTAATTTGACCTTTTTCGAAATCAGTTAGTGGTTTTTTACGTCACATCGTTTGAACAGTCGAAGGGAATACAAAAAGTTTAAAATTAAAGAGTATGGTGCTGAAACATGGGGAAAAAATGGGGGTGAACGTATATTTATGTGGAACTGCAAAAGTCAAAACACTGAAACATGAAAAAAAAATATATTGCTCATTCTCATTTGGAATTCGCTTTGTGTCCCAAAAGTCTTTCATATCGTACTCTTTCGAACCCCCGGTCGATATTTTTTAGAAACTGCAAATTTGGGGTTTTCGCCATTTTTCATGGGTGAACGTATATTTATGTGGAGCAGTATATTGGATTCTTACTTACCATCATCGTCCAGTTTCCGATTTTTCAAATCATACGAAACCGGTATAAAACTTCCTGTAGATCTTAATTTATCTGCCAGTACTGTCAGACTCCCCACTAATGCAATGATTTGATGAGATGTGAGTGGTTTTCGCGTGTCTAAAAATTATCGAAATATTTCTGCAATGTTTTTCTTTGAGGGACACCAACCGTCGCTTTCCATGTTAAAAGGCTGGGCGGGATATCTTGATATTTGAAAGAAACCAAGGAATAAAGCTTCTTCAATTTGTTTTTCTTGAGCCAGAGATGTGCCTCATCAGAAGTCATCTCAGGAGATTCTGAAAGTTTTGAGTTTTTGAATTCCTATACTTGGCACACCTGGGTGTCCCAATGATTTGAACAATTTTTTGAAATTTCCATCAAAATCTCTTATGTGATGATTCCAATTGATTTGGCAGTGTTTCCGTTTTCCCATGTTGTCTTGAAACTTTAAAAGATCTAATGTAATTAAAAAGAAACGCGAAAATCTGAAAAAGGTCTCCGTAGTAAGATGTGGGTGCCAGAAAAACAAAAATTATGTGATTGAAAATGAAATTCAACGCTTTTTGGAGTATGAATAGCATAGTGGAGAGAGAAGAAAAGAAGAGAAAATGAGTGGGGAGCTAGGAAAAATGAGATCCGGAATAATGACGTGTTCAGGAGTAATAAGCATCTAATGGTAGTCAACAAACTAGGAAAATCGGGAATGGAAGTTTTTTCAGTGAACAAATATGTAGGACTGAATGAAAATCCAATTTTCAAGTTTTCACTGGCTCTGTGATCCTTCAGCGCATTTAAGACAAATCGTTGAATCTCAGTCGCTTGAGGTCTACGAAATGATTTGTTGCATTTTTCACTTTTCTTCGATTCCTTTTCTTTTTTGGAGAATTGGATTTTCGATTTAAGGCAGAGCTTTCCGTTTTTTTATAACTTGAGAAGTGAGAAATATCAAAATCAAAAAACTCAAAACAATGAAAGTGGAAGATGGTGATCTCCTCGGAATTTTTCATCGAGTAAGGATATGACATAAAACGAGACGCGTGAAAAGATACGGCAAATTAAAAAAAAAGATTTGTAATGTTGAGAAAAGTTCAGAAGAAGAAAGAGGATATCTAATGTTTTTCGAAATCGCAAAAATAAAATTTAGATGCTGAATGAACTAGTTCAGCACTAAGAAAGCAGCCGTTCAAGCGACTACCACCAAGTTCTCCATGGGACCGCTCTCCCGGGCTTTAGTCACCACGCTCATCTTGTCGTTGCTCGACCCGTTGACGCTCACTTTTTCAATGCTCAGTTTTTCAATATGTCTTTTTGACAATGCGCTAGAAATTCGCTCCTTGAATACTTCAGTGGGCAAAGCAGTTTGGAACCTTGATCTTTCTGATGTGTTTTCCTCATCCATTACCTCATTGTCGGACTCTAATCCTCCACTCACTTCTCATTATTATTATTATTATTATTATTCTGACCATGAATGCATTCTTGTCGAGCGAGTTTTGCAACTATTTTACCATTCGATCCTTATAATTTTTTGTTGGTATTTTCTAACAGGCTTGACTTTTATATTTGAAGGGTATATATAGCAATTGAAGAAATGAGAAGTCATATCACCGGGAAAAATTGGTGTCAAACTGTCATTGATAGTGGAGAACAACATGGACTCATTGTATTGCGTGTGAATATGTCTAGCTCCCACATATCCAGTTTTCGAAAATATTATAATTTATTTTCTGTCGATGTAATCAGCTAACTTTGTGGCCTGTTTGTAAACTTTCTGGTTTTGTATTGTGTCTTCAAGCCAAGACTATCATCTTCTTTCCGTCTCTTCTTTTTTTTTCCAAATATTGGGTTATGTGTTTTATTATTCAAAATTTTCAAGTACTAATTTGAACGGCAGAAACTTGACGATCTCTGGACAGAATCATCTCAATAATATAAACGAATTCCGATTTTAACAGGCTACTGTTTTTCATATTCAAATTCTTAATCAAATCGATAGAATAGTTTATGAAATACGCGCGTTTTCGACTAGTCTCATTCTTTGTGTTAAGCTCCTCCCACACGCACACAAAACATAGCGGGACGCGGAACCCGGCCGATGTCGGCTGCGAACTCAAGTAATATGTTGTGTGTCCACGCTCTGTATGTGTTCGTTCTCTTCACTCAGAGAAATCTGATGAGAGTGGATAGAGTTTAAGAGAACTCTGATGATCACAATAGTCATGGTGTTCATCTAGTGGATATGTACATGGATACGGACCCTTACTCCCCACTCAACGAGGCTCCAGGGCCAGGCTTTTCCCCGAGAGGGAGATTCTGAGATTCTGAGATTCTGAGATTCTGAGATTCTGAGATTCTGAGATTCTGAGATTCTGAGATTGGAAATTCAGCATTATCTCGGAAATAAAAACTTTTTTACTAGAATTCAGAGAAATTTGATCTCGATTTTTTTAATTCTACGTCATTTCACGAAAAATGCTCAGATTATTTTTTAGATAATCACGTTTTCCTGGTTTTAGTTTGTGTCGTAATGTGTCTTTCAGAATTTTGTAGTTTTTTCTCTGATACTGGGACACTCCCTGTTTTAGTGCTTCACATCAGAAGATTCTTATCAATGAATTTTGGCATTTCTCTACAACGATGAGCATGACAAAACACAGTTTAAAGCCTTTGCCTACATTACGAGGAAAGAAACCAGAAATTACAATGTGCTATTTCGGAGTTTCCCAATTTGAGCTCTCACGTGCTCCGGCTCATTTCACATGTTTGTTTTGCTTCACGTTTTTACCTTGTGATGTGTGGAATGTTCGAGAAAAAATTCCTTATCATGTTTATGGATCAAAAAAAAATCAAAAATTAACTAACCAAACAAAAAAGGTAAACAAAACATTTTTAATTGTCACAGATTAGACAATACATGAGACGATTATTGGAATGAATGAAACAACCAAAGGCTTGATCTAGATAAAAAAATGCCTAGGGCAATGGAAAGAGGCGAGATAACCCAGAAACTTTGAACTTTAAGTTTATTTAATTCCCCCCAAGTTTATTAAATTTTCTTAAATTAAATTGATTCTAGACATTTTTTCGAAAAATTATTTCTGGCGGAATGCATAGTTTAAGAATGCCGCCATAGTTCTCTGCTGCTGCATAGCTTGTAAGAATGCTGGAGAAGCTTGGAATTGAGGAGCCGGTTGGAGAGGGTAGAGATATGGTAGTGGGAGCATGGTGTTCAATTCTCCTGCCAGTGGAATTGGACCGGGTATCTGAAAAGACAATTTCTATTTTAATACAAGATGTTTTGATAAACTCACTGTTGGGATTGTCATTAAATTGTTTGAGAGAGGATTTTGTTTTTGTTCCACTTGAGGTTCCTCATCTTCTCTATCACTATCCTCGTTGAATTTCACTTTCTTTGTTGGATTCTTGCCAGTTGGGGCATTCAAAAGTTGGTAGAAGCTTTCTGTATTCATTTGTCCATTAGCTTCTTTCTTCTCCACAGTTGCTGGTCTTGTTGGCAAGGCAAGTGTGAAAACTGGAGATGAAAGAGCTTGTGAAACTGCTTGATTGTCAGTTATCAGTCTGTCATGAATCATCAGCTCAGCTAGGTGTTCTGGACGCAATGCCTGACTCATATCCATACTTTGCGGTCTTGGAACCGGCGACGCCCTGTCTGGTTTACTTTCTGGTACCAGACATTGTGGTGCTTCATCCTCGATAATTTCAACCTCTGGGGGAACCAATTTGATCAGCATTTCACTCTTCTTTCGGGAGAATGGTGCAAAGTATTCAATGATTCTGTCGATCTGTTGCTTATCCGATCCAACTGGTCGTTGTTTGGAAAGTTCTAGAAGATTGGAGTAGATTCCAAGGATATTTGTCCAAATCTAAAATAATTTTCTTATTGTTTTCCATATTTTTTTTCATTTTCTCAAAACAAAAACTTTTTCAAAAATAAAAGTAATTTTTTAAAACTCACATCTTCCTTCAACTGAATACACAACTCTTGCAGCTTGTCTCCTTGAACCATCATAGTATTAATATCTTTCCAACAATCCCAACAGTCACTCTTCAGCTTCTCTCTCATGATCCTCTGGTTTAAGCGGCTCTTCGATGAGGCGTAGTTGGTCTTATCTTTGGATGAATTCAAACTATCCTTGTCATTTGTCAGCTTCGCATACTGCTCTTTGAGCTCCACTAGCTTCTCCTTATGATGGTTTGGAGTATTGGGACGATGCTCAAAGAGCACCACTTCCTCAGCTTTCTTCCGATAGTCCACAAGAAACACTTCGGCGATTGGAATGTTGAGTTTCTGGCGCATATCAGTTCCAAAATTAAGATAATTTGAAATTATCCTCTCAAAATCTGCCACCGCTGAGAATACATTTCTTTGGACACTCTCACTTCGAAGTCCATTGACAACTTCGCAATATCGACAATGAAGAGCATGGATTTTGTTGAACAAAACTCTACATTGGGAAATCTCGTCTCGATTCCTCTTGGTGTATTCTCTTGAATTCTTACTGCTCTCCAGTTTTCGAAGCTCCTCGGATACAGGTTCCGCTCTCTTGTGACACGACCTATGCTTTCTGGGATGGAATAATCTCGTTCGATCGAAAGCCGAGATATCTAAATTGCCAGCGGCACGTTTCAGTGCTTCTAGAGTCATCTGAAATTTTTATTTTTCTTTAAATTTGCATTTTTATTTAAAAATCTTACCAAGGAGCTATAGTTTAGTGGTTCACTCTCCAGTTCTGGAGACATACTTGCATCGGAATTCGCCGACCCGGATCGCTCTCTTCTATCAACTGCCATCTCTGACAATTCCACTTGGGAAATCATTGGGGCTGAAATGTTCAATTATCACAGGAAGAAATGATTAAAGGGAAGTGATGCTGAGGAAGGAAAGCGATACAAAAAAGAGAACAACCCAAGAAAGTAATTTTACTGATAAAAAGTGTTCTTACGAAATTTAGTTTATATATTTAAATGCAATTATGTCATCAGGCAATTTCCGTTCATCAAAAGAAAACATATGACGAATTTACGGAAGAGGATGACAATGACAATGATGTGTTTCGCAACGTGGGAGGTGCCTGTCAATGAAACAGTCGACTGTCATGAGTCAGAAAACAACACAGTTACGATTTACCTGGCAAAAAAGATAAGAGGAAGGAATGATACACAGTGACCGAGAGAAAGTAGAGAGATAGGAAGAGAAACAGGGGAAGTGGGTTCAAGGAAACACCTTTTCGGCAGATACAATAAAATTTGATAAAATTCGTCTTTTTCATTTTGCGATCACCTAAAATGATATCAAATGTAAAAAAATATTTTCAAATTGTTAGTTTAGCTAAGAACCAAACGCAACATCAATTTCAAATAAGTAAGGTTTTCTGACTCAAATTGTGGTCACTATTAACCAAATAAAGAAAACAAAAAACTGTGACTTTTTGGGGGATATGTCACATTGCGGTAAGGTTTTCCCTTGTGACACATGTGTCATTAGAATAACGAGAATGTTCTTAGCGGCGTTGAGTCACATTGAAGTAGGTTGATTTGCGTTGGCGGTAACAATAGTTTTGAGCTCATGCATTGCGGCTACATTCTATTCTCTATCCAAATAATTTACGAAGACGTTTCTCTACTGATAAGGAAATATAATACGCAAACTGATAAGAGAGATGTGCATCAATGCTCTGTAAAATGAGTTTTAGTATTGGAAGAATGGAAGTATTACGATTTTAAAAGACCTAGAAACATTAAGGAAATTCGAAACGTCTAAGGATTGGAAAAAAAACACAACATTTAGAAAATTTTCTGCTTACCGTGAGCAATGTATAGTTTTTTGAACTGGGACCATAATAAATTCTGTTCCACTTCATCTATTGATCAACCTTATAGTAATAGTTGCATTACCTTCAAATGTCTGGTAAACGATCTACCCTTGTATAGTTTTGATCTATTTTTTCAGGAAAATGCAAAACTACCTTTCCTCAGAAACACACAAATTTTCGCTCAGACCCACTCAAATTTATTGATAACCTAATTATTCGAAATCTCTTCCTTGGGACTATATCTCCGACTACAGTATACCCGACTCGAAAAACACTACAGTAAACCAATCAGTTCTAAATATTTCCTCACATTTTGAAATTGTTACCCTATAAAGTCCAGAAATTGAAACATCAGAATTAAATGTCAGCAAACAAAGTATACTGATTTGAAACTGAAAGTGTTTCACATGAGCACATTTCCAAGAACAATTATTTGCAAAATTTGATATTTTATCGGAAAATGGCGTGACAGAGAAATCATGAAATTTGGGGTGGGATTGCAAAAAAAAATTCGTGGAAAATGAAAAAGAAAAAATGGAAAAAGGGGAAAAAGAAACTGCATATTCATCATGGGAACATTGCAATAAAATTGTGTGTTTTCCCAGAAAATATTGTTGGAACTGTGAACGCCAAGAGGGGAAATTTTGAAAACAAAACAAGGCATCGAGTGTAGAAACGTTTTTAATTTTCTAATAATTATCGGAAATCCATTTTGTTTGACTCCCTAATAATTACTGTCCCATAAAGGTATTTGGTCATATTTCTCTTGAGAATACCGTAAAACCTCTAATAGAACGACACCCGGATCGTCCACTTTGAGCCTATATATCTCACTTCTTTTGAAAGATATCAAAAAGTAGTTAACTAGTAAAATGTTTATCAGGATATTAGCAACATTTTATTAGTTAGTCACTTTTTGATATCTTTCACAGAAAATGAGATATATAGGCTCAAAGTGGACGATCCGGGTGTCGTTCTATTAGAGGTTTTACGGTATATTAATTTTTAGGATTTTATCACAATTTCAAATCGAAGTAACCAATAGAAACCGGGAAAGTGATATACCATAATAGGAAGATCTCCCGATGGTCACATTTAGGCCAATTGTTCTTGCTTCTAAAATGAGATAATGAAAAAAGGCCAACTAACGGAATTTTAACCATACAATAGGCCAAAAAAGCTCCCCACCGCCTGGATCCCTCCTGAGCCTAGCGGGTGGATTGATCCTCGAATAGGAACCATAATGACAAATATGTAGTTAAATAAGCGTTTTCGGAAAACTCTCACATTAAAAGAGTCCTTTTGTTTGAGTGTTACGGTATGGGAGTCTTAAAAGACAACAGCAAAACCTTTTTTTTTTGACAAAACGAATACTCTCATTTTTGTTAATTTTCTCTGAAAAATTATTTTTTAAGCTGTCGAGAATATTTCGAACGCCCATAAGAAATACAGAAATACGTATATTCGAGAATGTTCTACAAAATTTGGGGATTTCATAACGATTTCAAAACTTGAATAGAATTTCAGAATAATTTCAAACACGTGAATGTCTCTAATCAGTGAATCACAGTGCAAATCTGAAGGTGATTGACAACAAGGCCTGGGGAAACACCTCAATTTGAGAATACGGTACAACTGTTTCATCACATCATGGTCATCGAACCACCCTATAAATCGAACCACCATGATATGCAAATTTCGCAAGATCATTTCATAAAAATCGAAATAATAATAATTTATTGATTCAGGACTATCAGTCACTTATAAAATCAATGTGTTACAAATTAAACAAATGAGTTAGAAATTATGTTCGTCTAAGAACAGAAAAGAAGATAAATTATCATGACTTAATTTAGTTTTAAAAGAGATGGATGAAATCAAGGGTGGGAACACGGTTTTTGGAAGCGAGTTCCAGCAGGATATAATACGGAGAGAAAGAAATTGAGCAAAAAGTTTTGAAGCATTTCTTGATGTACAGCGAATGTAATATGGGTGGCGTCTTAGATGAATATGATGAAACGGGACAATGAATAGATTATGGGCAATTGCAATTTCCTGGGAAACTAGAGAAAATCAAAGTAGGATATACAATCAAAGTAGGACATATAGGGATAGTTGAACTTCTTGTAACATCGAAACAGAAATGACTTTTGAACGCCTTCAACAAGCTTGATTTGCTCCTTGAGGACAGGGGAAAACAATTGTACCATACTCAAGAATGGGGCAAAAGTAGATGACAAAACATTTTACGAAAATATCCATTTTAGACTGGCGGAGAATATTAAGGAAAGGTTAATTCGTTGGTGTGCTTTCCGGAGTGTGGTAGCGAAGTGGTCAGAGAAGGTCAGTGACGAATTGAGAATGACTCCCAAATCACGAATCCTCTGATCAGTTGGCAATCTCTCGTCGTTAATTGAAAAATGATTGTTAGTATTATTAAGACGTCTTTTTTGAGAGAAAGAGATAGCTTCACATTTAGTGGGTGCAACACTCATTTGCCATGTATCACACCAGTTCTCCAGTTTTTCCAGATCACTTTCAATATGCATTGGGTTAGTAGAGAACAGTTTCAAGTCATCAGGTTTAGAGTAGAATGTTGGAAGAAAAGTTATCTCCTATGTCGTTAATGAAAATGAGAAACAGAAGCGGTCCGAGAACTGAGCCTTGAGGAACACCCGAGAGGACTTCCGTCTCTCTGGACAAAAGACTCAAGTTATACCAAAAGGGTACTACAGCAAAGGTGGTCTATTGAACATTGCTTCTAGATGTGAGGGACTTCTTCTTCAAAAAAGTTTTTTTTAATTTCCAGTTAAGCTATAGCAGCACAAGCTGTCGATCGATGTCATATGCGTACTGTAACCCTAAAAAAATCCAAAAATATATTCTTTTCTTTTTTAATTTTTACGGTTGATTAGTAATTGAAATAGAAGCTTCGAATGATGCGAACTGATATCAAATCTAATCAAAACAACTAATCTTGGCTTACAGCCAGATTTTGCAAATCAAGAAAAACCAAAAAAAAAAAACTCTAAAAGCAAATGCTTGTCCAAATGTTTGTCAATGAGAAGAACTTTAGAAAAAATTACTCCTCCTTCATTTCTTACAACTAGCGTCAGCTGTTGCAATGGATCAAGCATGTCAGAGGCATTGGCCATCAAAAAGAAATTGTGAAAAAAAAATATTAATGTATAGTTTTTTATTCTTATTCGTTAGTCTTTAATGAGAGTTTCTTACTCTCAGTAGTTCTGTAAAAACGACGTTTCATTTTCATTTGATCACATTTATTATCTTTTTATCCGGCTAATCTATAGTGATACACGGAAAGAGGAACTGGTCAGAAAAAGAGCTATTCAGATTTTTTTTCTTTAACATTTTCAAGCACATTATTTCTTTAAATCGAGATCAGTTTTTTTCGAAACGAAGTTCTTAAAAATAAGTACGCAGTAGCTATCAGTTTTACAAATTTTAAGTTGAATAATTCAATTTTTTCCGACATTAATATCACTTGTTTTTGTTGCCATCTAACTCAAAATATCACTTGTTTTTGTTGCCATCTAACTTGATAAGGATAACTTTTAGATCTAGAGAAGGTAAAGCTGAAGTTTAAGAAATCATTGACAAACTTTGGTTATAGTGAGAACTTCTCAAAAATGGGGAAAAAAAAACTTCTAACACCCACTGCTGTAAGCAAAAACATCATTCAAAATATGACAAAAATGCCGGAAATTACAGTAAAATTGGAACAAAAGAGGTTATCAGGTGATCTTAAACAAACTTTGAGCCGGAAATCAAAATTTTGAATTAGGCGCCATAAAAGTTGATCAAATGACGTGTTGTCTATTTTTGGTTTTTAAGATGTTTGAATAAGTGTCATGTTTGAAAAGTTCATTTGAGTAATTTCCTTAATCAGTTTTTTTTCTTTCCTTTTTGTTCCAAGTCAGCAAGAAAATTGATAATTCTCAGAACAGTCTAGTGATAAACTCGATAATTCCTTATGGTGAATTTCAAGAAATGTCAACTGCAATACTATTCAAACAAAAATTTTTATTATCAGATGCAATCCAGAGTAACAGCAGAAACTATTCAAATTGTTCACATTTTTAAAGAAATCAATGAAAAAGTAGCACAAGTTGAAACAAAGGGAATTGCCATTCTGTATGAAGAAAGAAGAAAGCAGAGGAGAATAAAAGCAACAATCAATTGTTTTGGAATTCAGAGCATTTACTTCCACATCTGATTATCGTTGTATTGGCCATTCCAGAATTCTGATCCTCCACCACTGACTCCTTGATTTCTGTTCCAGTAGTTTCCATTATCCCGCTGTTGCTGTCCATTATTATTGCTCTGGCCGTTGTATCCATTTCTGTTTCCTCTCCCACGCGAGCCTCCATACCCATTGTTGGTGTTGTTGTGGCGTGGACCACCGAAATTGTTGTTGAACCCATTGTTATTTGGCGAGAAGGCTAGATTTTCCACGTGATAGGCGGTTCTACTGCCATTACCTTTCTGATATACGTGATTGTTCGATACACGGTAGTTGTCGGATTGGCGTCTCGCTGGGGAGCTGCTGTTGTCACTTCCAACCGAGTTACGATCATTTTTCCAGGTTTGAATGTCATACTTCACACGGTTCTTGTTATTTTGCCTGGAAAATGAAAATTCGTTGTAAGTGTTGCTTTTTGATAGGAACTCACTTTTTGAAGGAACCACCAAACTTTTTCTGTCCATAGCCATGTGATGGGCTATGATTGTTCTGAGCCATGGTTTGATCATTGGAGCCACTTTTGGTGGTGTGTGGAGACTGGCGAGCTGGACTAGCCACGTTTCTGTAATTAGGTCTTGTTTGAAAACTGTATATGTTGGTGTAATGGTTTTCTCTGCTTTGAAATGTGTAGAAGAAAATCTACAGTACCAGCTGGAATTAGATCTAATACTTTCAGTTTCATAGATCAAAATATCTTTTTTAATAAAATATGCTTAATTTTTTAGACATCCATAATTTGTTGTGAAAACTACGCCTCCACAAGTCGGGTAACACTCTTCTCGCAAAGCAGTACACAACACTTAGCAGCACGTCTAAGACTGCAGGACAGAAGATGGCAACTACACGATTCTCTGCTAGCAAATACAGAAGTCAGCAGAACTAAGCAGGTCTCCTCGCAAATCTGCAGTATACCCTTCCCAGTTTTCCATTATCTTGTTTTATATTTTAATTACAGATTCTCCCGTAAGCTTAACTTCTTGTTTTTGTATTTCGCGCCGACACGCCGTTTCTCTTCACGTTCTCCGTCGTCGCCACACTCTCTCGTCGGTCGAAAAGGAGCGGACTTGTTGCATAATTTTAGGCCCTGCTAATTCGAACTTTTTGTCGGCGAGCAGACTCATAACTTCACTTTCCTTTTTCACAAATTGGTGCGAGTTCTGTCTCGGAACAGACGTGTACCGGCAGATTTTGTTTCTTCGCAGATTATTGCAGATTCTTTTAACGCAGATGGGACCAATCCACCGTGGAAAAGCCACCAACGAGTACGTCGTTATAGCAGAGGACTCGTACTACGCAGATCTGATATTTTTACTCTATTCTTCTTGTGATTTTCAGAAAGCAGAACTACCCTTCTTTTCTCCTTATATAATCCCCTTTCCAATGTAAGAGGTGTCCCATAATTCAAGCTTATCGTAGTTATCCTGTCTTCTCCATCCTACGTTGTCTTCTCCATCCTACACATCTCTTAGTCTACTTCCAACATCTATCCGTGAACTGGTAGTTCTCATCGAACTTCCAGGTCATCACATAATTGGCTATTTTCAATCAAAAATAGAGGAAACTAACATTCGCAATGACTGTATCTAGGAACGCTATGGGCTGTGATTTTTGGTTGGAGCGTGGTCAGGTTCACGATCAGACAGCTTCTGTTCCAAATCTGACTATAGTACAGTTGGTACAAGGCATCTTTTGACGAGAACGTAGCCAATATTTGTCCAAAAGCGGAACACTTCTAGAAGGACTTCCAGTCAAACGCTACAAGCCGATAGGCGAGTAAGGTTTACATCTAAGCTGTCGCTTTGTAACAACTAGTCACAAGTTAAGAGGGGTTTAGTTATTGGAGATACATTGGTCATTTTCTGGACGGAAATTGCTCTAAAACGGCTGGATAAGTTTCTATGATGAACCATCCTGTCAAATTGTGAAAAAATCACTACTCACTCTTTCTGCACCGATTCCGCTCTGACTGGCTCGGCCTTCTCCACCTCTACTTTCTTCATCTCAACCTTCGTCTCCTCATCTTTCGAAGTACCAGCCAACTCCATCAACTCCAACGCGCGAACCACACGACCATAATTCGGATCGACTGGCTTCTTCTGGGTCTCGTATGAGAAGTCCTCGTCCGACACTAGAATATCATGTATTTTAAATGAAATGTGGGACCGAGACAAACTTACTTTTGGCGAGCATCGACTCGAGATATGGGTCCCGAATGACAAATGAGATTTTGTCAGCCGCTTGTCTTCTGTTCAACTCCTCGCAACGGATAATTGCGCCGTCATCAGCATGAACTTCCTTTTTGGCTGGGTAGACAAAGTCCTCGTTTTTCACTGAAACAAGAAATATGGTTTTTAGTTCGGATCTCTGTCAGAGTTGTCAGATTTTGGAGCTAGGGTAGGGTTAACCTTCCTACAAGTTAGTAATTTTTCTTCTAAAATGCTATCAACGTTGTTTATGGCAAAGTCTAGAACCCCCTAAACTCACTATTTTTGAAAAGGGTCTCCATAAGAGCAGCTGTTGAGTTCATGTAGACCAGAGAGTTTTTGTAGTCAAAATCGTCTTGTGACATTTTTTCCTAAAAAAACAGTATAAGGAGAATCAAGCAAACGGTGAAAAAGGTTCAGATGGAAAAAAAAATTGAAGAGACAAAGAATAGGCTTAACTGAAAACGCAAAAAGACGCCAAAAGGGCACCTACGAATTCCATAGGGGCACACAGGAAATACCAGACGATGTCAGCAGCGCAGAAAGAGTGTATGTGTGCTAGACAGCATCGGACAACGAGAGCCTAGTTGCTGGTAGAACTGAGAAGAAGGAAAGAAGAGAAGAAGAATGGTGGTGTGCTGGTCGTCTGGGCCAATTGGCAGACATACACACAGACAACGGCATCTCGGGGCACACCGAATGTAGTCGTCGTCTCGTAACGGCAGCTGTTCGACTGACCCAGAGAACACCTGTTGAAGGGAGAAATTCAGAGATTCAGACAACCAAGAAGACGTTGCGACGATGCGACGTTGCGCAATACAGAAATCTCGGGATGACGTAATGTAATATGTAGCAGGCTTTGTTTGTTCAGAAGAGATTACTCTGTTACTAAAGGAACCGAGAGTAGATTTTGGGTGTGTATGGAGTAGGTGAATGTTGCGAGATGGAAGAGGTACCGACACAGGAAGTAATTGGATGTTCATTGAAGCGTGGTTTTAGAGAATTTAAAACAAAACATGTTCTCAGGGAAGGAAGGAGTAATGCATGGGTTTTGAAGAATATCAGAATATTTCGTGCTCTCAGGAAAGCACAAATCACCCCAGAGCATCCACCGGAAGAGTCCAAATTTCAGACACACCAGATGCTTCAGATTCCTTGAAATTTATCTGCACATGAAAAACTGAATTTTAAATATTTTGATCCTCTAACAAAGCTAACCAGTACCTCATGAATGGAAAAACAAATTATGAGAAATTTTCTTGTTGTGCCATATACACTTCAAACTTTTGACTTCGAAAAATGTGGAAACATATTCAGCGACTTGTCGAAGGCGGATATTTCAAATTTCTCCAATTTGATAAAGGGAAATTTCAAAACCGGAAGTTTTTGAGCCAGACATTTTGATTTCATTTCAAAACACGCGGTTCTGAGACGTCCAATTGAAAATGCCCAATAGAATTTGTAGAAATTGTCGGAAAGTTACAGTTTACCCAAAAAAACGGAGAGTTTCATTTTCGTAACCTCCCGCTGTCTGAATGTTCTTTTTTCAAGTCTCCCATACTAGTTAATTTGAATCATCTGTGAATTTTCCCTCAATTTCCTTTTTACCATTACAAATCTTAATTCTCGTGACTCATCAGAAATCTTGGCGTCCATATAGAACCAGAGAATCAGGGATAGAATCAGAGAATCATATAGAATCAGAGAATCAGAGATATACAAAAATCTTTCTCAAAATTTTTTTGCTCTCCTTATTTGCCCTTAAACTTTCATGCAGGCTCAACTTTCTTCTAATTTGTAGAAATTCCACATTTCTTTCTCTTTCACCCATTTTCCGATAAGAACGCATTCCTCGCCTTCTCGACATATGTCTCATTTATTTCTCCCATTGTTCTTTCTCTTTACTCATTAATACTCGAATAGCGTTGTTCTCGACTGTTGCTGTTTTGCCCCCGTCGCATGCGCGCGCACACAACCCTCGCAATGCAGTGTGTGGCGGTCTTGACGTTTTTGGTGCATACACCGCGTCTCTCACATTGCGGACTGACGCGCATGAAAATTTCTTTCATTTCTTGAGTTTCTCTTGGCTTTACTTGTGATTTCTTGAGGCTCAATTCGTCCTTTTATTTCTAAAACTTGCTTGAATAATTTTTAAATATCAATTTATTCAATTTTTACAGAGATGCCGCGTGATATCCCCGCTACCAAGGGTGTCTACCTGCTCGAGCGTGTAACCAACAAAGAAATCAACTTGGAGAATATCGACGAGGAAATGCGAATGGAGCAGGTCCGTCAGGCGGGCGCCAAACTTGATTGGGCATCGTTCGGACAGGCAGTTCGCCGCAATTTGCAGGTAAATCGTTGATTTTTGAGAAATTTGAGTAGGAAATCGATAAAATTGCAGGAGAAACGGAATACGATTGATGCCGACGGACGCATCGATGTGCTGAAGAGTCTCGCCTTTATGAAGACAAAACTGCCAATTGAGGCAGACGCACCAATGGAGGAAAAAATCCGAATCTTGGCAGAAAGCTTGGGGTGAGCTGTTACGTTTGGAAATATTAGCAGCGTTTGGAATTACGCTCACATATCTAACTGGTTGTCTTTAAAAGACAAATATCTAACTAGATCAAAGGTTCACGTCTTTGTTCCGATTTGAAGTTAGCAGGAAAGGCGACCCTCGCCTAGTATTTCTTTTATCGACCGGCCAACAACAACGTAGCTTTGCCAATGGCTGTTATGCACCTCTAAGGGCTGAACGACGAGCACAAATAGATAGAAAAACCCTGATTGTGCGAAATAAACCAGTCAGAATTACTTGGCGAACGCTTGCCCAGCTCGGTGCAGGGCATAGCTCAACTTTTGCGATCGAACCTGGAATCCCTCGGTTGTCAGTCGGAGATTTATCATGAATTTGGTCAGAATTCGCCACAGAAACGGATTTATAGGATTTGAAACGCTGCTAATTTGGTAGCGACCTATTTCGGTGATCCTTTGAACATAGCAATCTCGTTTTCTCTAAAAACAGAGCTAAAATTATCAAATATCCTTCTTCCAGATGTACACATGTCAGAACCACCCGCGGCTGGACCATCACCAAACCCGAAGAGCTCAACGTGGACCTAACAATCAAGAACGGAGAAGTCGACACCGTTGTTCTGAGTTTCTGGGAAGAGGCCGCTTTCTATTCTGGCGAAGCGACAAAAATGCTTCACAAAGGAGAGTGGAGCGAGCTTCGTGACAGACTAGCTAGCATGCTCGCTGTGTACAACAAGGATCTGGATAGGTAGGATATTACTTATCAAGATGCAACTTCTTATACTTATTTTGTTTCAGAAACGACAGAAAAACCTGCAAAGCTGCAATGGACGTGCTTGGATCTATGCTCAAAACAATGAATGCGGATGAGATGTACACATCGATTCAGAACAACAATTATGGGTACTATCTCCATCGCTCAGATTTGCGTCAGGGACGGCTCTACTACAATGTTGAACCTCTCTATCGTCGTGTCCGCTCGAAACATCACACGTATAGCTTGCAGAAAGAGGATTGGGATATTCTTCCATTCTTTGAGTTCTCGTTTGTCCCAAGCGACAGTGTCCACGCTTTTCCAGAGCATAATCCGTAGTGAGTTTTAGAATTGTGTCAGAAAATTGATGCGAGGAAAGAAAAACGCTGGTGGCCGTGGCAAAAGGTTTCAGAAGAAAGACTACAGTAACTAAAAAAACCTAGTTTTTTATTGGGGACTTGCGGCCATGGCCACCAGCGTTTCTTTTCCACCGAATCGATTTCTATATCAGTATAACAACACTACTGTAATTATTCAATTTATTCAAAAATTTGCAGTGGCGAATGGAAGGAAACAGGGTCGGCCAAGGCTGCAGTCTGCTTGAAACTGTCAAAAGGTGTCCTCGTCAGCGAGCCAACTCGCAGAAAGCTTCACGAGATTAGTGCAAGATCTACCACAATCCAATGCTACACCAACTGCTACCGTTACTTGACTGGAAGTGTTCTCATCAAGGATAACCTCAAAATGATCACCCAATTCCCTGGCGAATGCACTCAACATCACTACACCATTGATAGATCTTCATTCACTAGCGAAGGGGACTCAGTGATCACTGAGATTTATTTGAAGCGCCTTCAAGACTTCCACAAAGTCATCGAGATTCTCCGCAAGGAAGCCATGCATATCAGCATTTGGGAATCTGTCTTGGCGGATTGCTATGAGCTGCAAGGTCTTGAGGAACGTGTGGTTCCGGCAATCAACATGTTTGTGAATTTGTCCAGAGACATGATCACGGTCAGATTTATGACCAAGTACGCGCCCATCAGAGGTTAGTCGTTGCAAAGTGGATTGTCAGAAACATTATTTTTTTTCAGTTTGCATTCGGGATGGTGTTTGGATCGAGGCCAAGGTCGAGGTGGTGAATGATCAGACTGGAGCAAAAGTTGCAGATCGTGTCGATGAGCTTCTGACTCGCAAGCTGAATGAGTAAGTTTGAAATTTGAAATGTCGATGCTCATTTGAGCTATCAAAGCCGTACAAAGATCGTATTACAAAAAGTAGCCTGAGTAGCATCATAATTGCCCCGGGCCTTGTCGAATCACAAATGTTTTGCGACCTGGTAAATTTCTGAAGATTCGAAAACTTTTGAAACTGGCGTAAGAGCTCGTTATTTTTCTTACAATTCCGAGAAAAAAAATTGAGACTCTCTCCATTTTGAATGTTTCCCTACTCATAGATTTGCTAAAAAATTTCTTCATTTTTCAGGACATGGAGCATCCCAATCATGCTCACTTTTGCCGTTTCTGGAGAGGACTGTGCCTTGGAGCAAATGAAGGTTCCACTACGCGAGGAGAACCCGGAAACCAAACTTCCAACACCAACCAAAATTATTGTCCACAAAAACTAATTGGTCATGTGATGGGTATACCGATATAATTTTTTACGGGTTTTCAATGTATCGAGTTTTAATATCCCTCTGGAAGTTGTGGTTTTATTATTCGCATTTGACGAATTCTAGCAATACTTTTTTCTTGTTAAATGGTTTAAATTCTTTTATGATGGAATGAAACACCGGGAGTGTATTCATAGCACCAGATCAGTGTATTATTCATTTGATGAGCGATTGTATTCTGTTCCCAGGAACAATTGTCTCTTCCAAAAAAGGCGATGTTGACGTGTCTTTCAACTTGGGAAATCTTTTGAAGATCTTGAAGACTTCCCGCATTGCTCACAAACAATAAAACATTTAAAACAGTTTTTCATGTCGAAAATTCATTTCTCAGCAAAAAAAAAAGAAACACATCTATACAAAAAATAAGCTTGAACGTTTGAGATCACAAAATCAGAACGCAATATGTGTGAGAATGTGTGTGACGGTTGATTATAGAATAGTATTTATGATTATAAGGTTCGAAATATGTACAAAGCTAAATGTTCAAATTTAAGAGTAGCCCGTTTCCAATTCTGAGTTTACGACTTTCCTTCTTATCCGTGATGAGAACTCAACGTGGCTTTCACGTACCTGAAAGCTGAATAGATATGAGTAAATTTATCGTTTAAGCCTCCGTTTTGTACCTTTCCCATGTGGAATGTCTCTTTGATGCTTTGTCGGAAGCGAGTTGAAAGGAATGCGTAAAGGAACGGGTCTACGGCGGCGTTGAAAAACAGGAGAAGGAAACTAATGGGCTGCAGAACACTTTGTAAGCAGTTCAAACATCTTGGCGCTGAAAAAATAACCCATTTCTAGAGGAAAACGACTATTTTATGTGGTCCCTACCCATAGGATCCCTCCAAACGGTCCACATAAAATATACATATCGTGGAAGAGAGAAGAATGCAAATGCCACCACTATTCCGACGGCCAAACGACCAACCTGAAAAAAAGCCCACAAAAATAGAAAAAAAGATCCCTATGGAAGACAGGAAAAATATTTTGGTTCAACTGCCAGAACATCTGGTATGAAGTCAAAACTAAACAAAATGGTTTCCTGGCAAGTGCAGTACAACAAACAAACTGTGAACATATGTTCTGGAACTTTTAAACAAACCTTTCGGCGCTTCTCCACTGATACACCACCAGTAGAAGCTTCTGAACGCCAGCTGGATCTTGGAAGTAGCTTATTTGCAGACTGTTTAGTGATAGATGCGGCTTTGCTGACGACCAAACCAATTGTGGCATAGATACACAGAAGTATGACCAGAGGGACGGCGTACCAGACAATGAAATTGATAGTGGCCACCAGTTTAAGCAAATTCAAGCCGTAAATTTCAACATGGCGTCTGGTGCAAATCTGGAAAATTAAAAACATGTATTGTTAATCACCTTATGGTATTTTTCTTACTGTATATGTCTCATTTCCGTCGGAAATTTCCAAGTATTGACTGGCATAGATGTAAGGGGTATTCATAACAGCGCTGGCTGAAAATAAAATTGAGCACAATAAGTCAGCGCGTGCTCAGTAAACTCACTAATCCAAACGATAGCTGAAGAAGTAATCAGTACTTTGGAATTGAACGCTCTGCGGACTCGCAATGGGCGAAGAACAGCGATCAATCTTTCAACAGATACCAGCACCTGAAAATCTTAATTTTGGAATCAAAAAAGGAGTTTATAACAGACCAGAATTCCAGCAGATACATTGGGTATAAAGTGTAGTACGTAGATGTAAGAATAGCAGAGCGCTTTGCCAAATGGCCAGCGCCCATGTCCTTGCAAGACGAAATTCACGGCATTCTGAAGCACACAGAAGATTCCGACGAAGAGATCGGCAACCTGGGAATTTAAAAGGGGATAGTTTGAGTTTGAAGGGCAAGTTGGGTACCGTGAGATTGGCAAGGAAGAAGTTTGGAACACTCCGAACCTTTTTCTTCGACACGAACACAAAGAGGATTATGAGGTTTCCTGGAAATTTTGATTTTATTGATTTTTAAAAGTTATTTCCTGAGAATCTTCCTGATAATCGGTTTATTCTTAATTTCTAAAGTAATTGTCTTTAAGATATACAAAAACCTATTTCGCAGTGGCATTGCGGTCATTTTGATCAATTTCAAAACTCTGGAGCTCGGCTGTCAAGTTTCCGATCATTTTGAAAACTTTGGAGGTTATAAATCAGACCTAGATTGAAAATTTTGCTTTCACAGAAATTTTTGAAAGTTCCTAGTTTTTCAGCTATTAGTCAATTTTTGAAGGACACCAGTTTTTCGCTTTTTCAGTACAAAACAAGTAAAAGGAAGGTGTCCTTCAGAAATCAGCGAATAGCTGAAAAACTAAGGGTTTTCAAAAAAAATTTGGAAGTGCAAAGTTTTTAATCCAGGTCAGTTTGATGACCATCAAAATTTTCAAAGTGACCGGACACTTGTCAGTCGAGCTCTAGACTCCAAGAAATGGCCAAAAATCAACTGAAAAACACGTTTTTCTAATTGAGCGGTACTGTATATGGGCTCAAAGTTGACGTTTTGAGTGCCCTTCTATTAGAGGAAATAGGGTCATTTTATAAATTTTTTTCCCATCTTCCTGAAAATAAATTCATTTTCATTTTCTGTGTCTTCTGATACCTGCGAATTGGAAATCAAACCCCAAATCGGTATTTACCCATTTTCTCCCAATGTTTGCTCCCCATCAAGCGTCCTAATGAGAAAATCAAACTTATGAGGTTCCAAAAAGTGTGAATGATCACCAGATGATTCCCACTTACCGATAATAGTAGCAAGAAAAACGAAAAGATAGGATACACACAGTAGAAAGTGTACCACGGGATGATTAAGAGGAGAGTCGCTTTGCATTCGTTCTGGAAATAAACTAGTTAAACTTAAAATCATTTCTTGATATTATAAAACAGGTGGAATTCAAAAATACGAGCAAGACAAAAGTGGAAAGTTCGTAGTCAGAAACTAGAATGACGAAAGATGAAAAATGGGAAAAAAGAATGAAAGTGATATAGAATTTCTCATGTGTCTCAATACTTTTTCAAGGAGATGCATTTGATGAATGAAATAAATGAAAAAAAAATCTGAAGAAACATTGCAAAAGGAGACGGATCAAAGACGTTTGAAGAGCTTGAAGTATGGTGTGGCGCGGATGAAAGTTCACGAAACACATCTTCTTCTTTTTTTTCGCCTCGCGTGTCGAGACATCAAAAAGACGATGGCGTTTTCTTTTTGATTCGGGGGAGAGGAAGTGGAAACATAGATCAGTAAAATAGGTACCCGGAATTTCAAGTTAGAAAAAAAAAGTAACGTGCGGATCAGGAAGAGAAAACACTAGGGCTTCTTCTTTTTCTTACTCTCCGAGACACGTTTCCATTGCCACATCATTCTCTATGAATAGAATAGCAGGTGGAATGCCTTCAGTGTTAAGGTTACGATGTCGTTCAAACTCGAGGAGGGCTTAATGTGGGCGGAACAGCCTTGGGGCCATCTGGCATATGTATATGCTCAAAGATCGTGCATAAGATTTCTAACTCTTAAAAGATTGATTTTGTTCTAAAAGTGTGTACAGATAATCTAGTAGGGGGGATCATCTAGGTTAATCTCCATCGTGAGGTGCAAGATAGAATGTTTTAGAAGATATATAAATAACTAGGAAACAATTACTTGAGGTCTTCAAAAAAGTTTCAGGTCTTTCAAACCTTACAAAACAAATTCGAAATACGGTGAATGCTTCATTAGAACTCCCACTCGATACGTGTACTTTGAGCTCAACTATCTCGGTTCTCCCAAGAGATATCAAAAAGTTTTCAACTGATAAATTATTTATCATAGTATCACCAATATTTTATCGGTTAACGGCTTTTTGATATCTCTCATAGGAACCGAGATAAATAAGCTCAAAGTGTAAGAATATAAAAAGCCTTCTATTAGTGCGAATACGGTACTTGCCGTCTGATATTAGTTATCTCAGTTCCTTAATGAAAAATCAAAACATTTTTAACTGAAAAATAATTTATCATAATATCACCAATATTTTATCAGTTGACAAGTTTTCAATACCTCTCATGGGAACCGAGATAATTGAGCTTGAAGTGCACAAGCTCAACATGCAAAGAAATGGTAGCGTTTTATGAAATCAATTACAGTAATAGCGGGAATTTCGAAAAAAAAATAAAAAGTACTATTTTAACATGACGAAAGAATAAGTTTAAATGCAATTTTGAAAAAAAGAAATTAATACCGTAATCTGTTTATGCGGAGTAATTTTTTAAGTTACCGTGAGCAAAAGAAATTAAGTAATCCAATACTTGTAATGAAGGATATAGAAGCTACCGTACTTGCTATAATAGAAGCCTGTCACATACCTGCACTGTTAGCTTGGTTCCTATGAAAGACATCTAAAATCCGTGAACTAATCAGTGATTTTATGTTGAATAATTTATCGGTTGACAAGCTTTCCATGTCTCTCACAGGGACTAAGATAATTAAGCTCAAAGTTCACATACATTAGGGCTTCTGTTCGTGCGAATACGGTAGCTTTGATTCCAAATCGTCACTCAATTTTCGTGAAATTAAGTTCAGCTTTATCTATACAATTGTCGGTTTCCCACAAAGTGTTTGGGTGACTTTCTCATAATAAGGAATACTGTAGTTTCCTATCACTAAACTTCTTTAATGAATAACGAACGCTGAAAAACTACCCAAGTCTTCTTCGCATGCAATACAAAGTAAACAAGGGAAAAAAGACCCTGCTACAAAATAAATTCATCTGGAATACCGAGTAGTGTTATTTGAATTTTCAAAAATAAACACATTTTGCAACTACATTTCTTTGAAATTACTGGAAAAATTAATTAAAGCAAATAAACTAGAAACACGAATTAATAATCAATTAATAATCACTTCCTACTAGACAGGGGGTTATAGATGCAAAATGGGAACAGAATGAGCAGAAACCAGTGTGAGGGAATGTTAATATCCGGAGTATGAGCATAGGCACACGTGTTGCGACAACTACGTCATCTGGACCAGAAAGAATAAATGGACTAATAGTTTTTTTTGTGGGAGTAGTTGTTGGGAGCAAGGGTGTGGATATCCCTTCAGTTTTTTTTTTCTATCTAGTTTTATCCTTGAGGGCGTCTAGAGGGCGGAAAGAAGAATTGTTGAAATGACAGACACTAACTTCATGGGGGACACTTTTGCCAATTAAAGCGAGCGAGAAAAACGTGTGTAATTGAGGTGGTGGTACCCGACACTCGCTTTTCGGGAGAGGAAAAAGAACCACAAAGTAGGAGCAAAAGAAGAAGATGAAGAAGAAGGAAAAGTGTGGAAAAAGTGTCGCCGAGCAAATAGACAGTTGCAACTGAATGTATCAAAAGGAGGGAAAAAACGAAAGACTCTCACAAATGGACCGTATACGCTCTGAAAGCAACAAAAGAAGGGTCAGAGAGTGACCCGAGCGGTCAATTGAATACTTTTGAATGGGACAATTCGCAGAGTGTAAAAATCAAACCTTCTGTTTCATTGGCTCCGTCTGCTTCCCGTTTTCTCAATTCGGTAAATAGGGAAAAAAAAGATTGGGAGACAAAAATTGGGGGATTAATATATAAACGAACACAGCTGAGAAATCTGAACAATACGGAGAACAAACAAATTTAGTTATGATTAATTTTTAGGGGGCGTGGTAATGGTACCTGCTTAAAAACACAAACAAAACACTTGAAAATTATAGAGTTAAAATTTTGATTTTTGATATGACATTTTTCTTATGAACAAATTTCAAAACGTACGTGACTTTTGGATTCTAAAGTTTTTCTAACAAGGCACTCAAGTCGAAATTTCAATCACCCTAGAAACTACGTTCCGAAGAAAGGAAGAAGTTAAATTGAACAACTTGGAAAGATGTGTGAAAAATTTATAGATTCCAAAAACTTTATATGAGTCGATAAGAAATTCTGGCGTCAAGAGACAACCAGCATCTTTTAGATGTTCTACAGCCGAAATGAAAATACTGAATAATGAAAATATACGAAAATGAAGAAAATAAAAAATTGCCTGGGCGTACAGTAGCCCAAATTGTTTCTTAATCTCAAAATCTACACTCAGCAATGTTCGGAACGGGATTCGGAATTCCTAAAAATCCGGAAATTCCGACCATGTTAGGAATCTAAACATTTTCCAAATTTTTCCCGGAATAAGAATTCAGACTACGATACGTTCAAGACGCATGCGCAAAATGTGTTTTCGGATCTCGTAATTCAGTTCTTGGAGTTTTTGTGATAGGAAAATTGAATTACTACTTCGAATTTTAAATTTTTTGAAATAACAAAAAATTTGAAATTTCGAAAATTTCAAAATTGAAATATTCTAAAATTCCGAATTTCTCAAAATTGAAATATTACGAAATTCTGAAATTTTGAAATTCCAGAAATTTTCAAAATCGGAATATTCCGAAATTCTGAAATTCCGAAATTTCGAAAATCGAAATATTCCCAGATTTTTCCAATTTTTCCAATTTTTCAAATTTTTTGAAATTCCAATTTTTCCACGTTGGAATATTCCAAAATATTGAAAATTTTGAAAATCAAAACGTTTCGAAATTCAGAAATTTTGAAAATCTTAATATTCCAACATTTCAAAATTCCGAATTCTCTCAAGTCAGAATATTCCGAGATTCTGAAATTTTGAAATTTTGAGAATTGGAATATTCCGAGATTCTGAAATTTTGAAATTTTGAGAATTGGAATATTCCGAGATTCTGAAATTTTGAAATTTTAAAAATCGGAATTTTCGACTTTCCGAAATTTCCACAAAGCCATTCCCAACATCTCTGATTTACAGTAACCCAAATAAGAAATTTTTTATAGCTGTATCACGTTTCTCTCCACTAGAATCCAAAAAATATGTCCAGAAAATCAAAAAATATTATGAATAATTCCAATCGAGGAAACAATGATTAAAAAAAGCCTATTTTGCTTTTTGTTGTCTTTCTGAGAATGCCAAAAAATACATTCACAAGTTCTTATTCAATAATTCATTTTAGCTCTAGCTCTATTCTCTAGAATTGAGAGACAAAAATCATAAAAATGAATAAGCATAGACTGGAATCGGTCAAGGGGGCACACGAATGAAAATTGCGACACATACTGCCAACAAAAGCCCGGAAAAGTTCAAAGACCGTTTCTTTGATCATCTGGTGGTAATTACAGGAGAAAAGGTTCAGCCCAGCATGTGCAAGGAGTGCTTAGCGGGATAAAGAAGGTACGCAAAGATTGTTCAACACCTCCAATTCTGGCTAGAGTTGTTGCTCTTGAAAGTTTCGTAGCTAACAGAGAATTTCTTTGTTATTCATATGAAAAAAAGGAATTTTCTGGAAGAATATGGTTTGGGCAGACTGAAAATAATTTAAAAGTGGTACAAGTTAAAAAGATGGACCCATTTTTTACTTGTCATCATGTTTTTTCCAGATAATTTATTTTTTTGTTTTCACGAATTCTTCCAGAACGTCTTGTTCCTTCTAGCTAATTAGAAACTAGAAAAACTACTTCTCCCACAATTTCACAAAAAAACACACCAAAAAGACTCGAGAATAAAACGGAAGATCAAATTTCACGGTTTTTTGAACTTTCTCTCTTCTCAAAAACTGTTCTTTCTATTTCTATACTTGGACTTTTAGGGGGAAAGTTTCATTGGGGTGCTCCAAGCAGAAAAAGGAGCCCGAATGAGATTTCAATGAGATCTGAAGCGTAAAGCTGCTTCCCCAACTTTTTTCTAATTTAGAACTTTGGCGCCAAAAGAATCGCCGCCCAAAAAACTGGGATAGTGCACGTAGAATGGTTGTAAAGCTACTTTTT